TTGCAGAGCATTTTTTGGTAGGAGAAAAGACAAGTCGCGTATGAAGTTGTCCTGGAATGGCAGTCTTTTAACTGTTTGTTGAAAAAGCTCTTGATAATATTGTAAACAATTACTGTAGAACGCTGTTAGTTTCTCTTCTTTCCCTTCCTCCGTTGATGAGGTGAATTCAGAAACAAGATCAAGTGCACTTTGCCCGATGTTAATTTTATCCGTTGGTAATAAATATTGTGCATCATACGGATCTACTGAATGTAAGTTGTTCCTTGTTAGAACTTCGGGTTGCATAAAATTTGTTGCTACCACTGATAGAAAGTCTGCACATTGTAAATACAAAGAGTGTAGTAATATGTCGTTCGTTTGGAAACGAACGTTCAAATTGGCGGACTTCCGAAGGATGTAATTGAAAACTGCAAGTACGCCTTCGTTAATGGATAGTTCATCCTGTTACATATACTTTCTTCCAAGGACATGCCGGGAAATAATGGATTTGCCGCTGTACACGATTCTACAGCGAAATATGCGTAAAGAGCATTCCATTGGTTCAGAACTCTGTCGACACATTGTGACAGTGCTAGCCACCTTGTTTTCGATGGTTGAAGGAGCTTCTGTTTTGTAATGTGCATTATCTCCTGTATGTCTTCCAAACCTTGCTGTTTTTTAAGGCTTGAAACGAAGTAGCTATACAATGAATATAATAATTCTTCCACGTGCTCCGGTAACTTCTTACATGCATTGCAGGCTGCCAGGTGAATGGAGTGGCATATACATGGTAAAACGACAACTTGTGAATCGTTTTCTGCCAGCAGCCGAGAAACGAATGAATTATGTTTCCCCACCATTACACTTGCATTGTCAACAGAAACGCCAATGACGTTGCTGACTGGAATGTCGTATTTTTGCATTGAGTATTTGAAACAATCGTATAAATACTCGGCATTTCCTTCTCTCAATCGTAAATAATCTAGTAAATATGTCTGGATTGTCCCCTCATACGTGTATCTCGCCAGGATGCATAAATTTTTGTACCCTGACACGTCGGTGCTTTCATCCACTAGGATTGAGAAGAATGTATTCTTTAATATTTTAGTGACATTCCTCACGATGGCTTCGTTGATGACGTTGTTCGTGATGGCTGCAATTTTGGTACGCTTCAATTTCATTTGCTTTAAAACATCCATTGAATCCACAGCCCTCAGCTGCATTCTCGTATCGTGCTCATACGAGTGGAAGCTTCTGCTGTGTTCTATGATATTGAGAACATGGATGATCTCGGCTCTTTTGACACGTTCACGTACGGATGCAAAAGCCAGCCACGCTGCGCTGTCCGTGTCCGTCAAGTCTCCTGTATTACGCAACATGGTAATGTGCGATTGACCGCTGGCGTGCTTCCTCAGCTCAGATTTCCCGCAATTGAATTCTTTTTCGCAGGCAGTACAGAACGCCTTAAACGGGTTGCCCTCGCATTTCTGGAGCCACGAAGAAAAATTGGGTTCTGCTAGCCACGAATCGCAAAATCGTTTTCTGCATGCCACCTTGTTTGAAGGAGGTGGCGGCATGACACTGGTGTTGCTGTCGCTGCTCTCATGACCTGTTTTTTACAAATTAATAATATAAATTATTAAAGTGCAATAATTTATTTGTAATGAATTTATTTTTCATTACTGCGTGCGAACTTCCATATATTTCCGTTCCTTATGCTTTCACAGATTTGTATAACAATTCCGCATGAGCATTTCAATTTTTTCAAACTTCGTGTATTATATATGTGCAAAATCTGTAAAATGTGAAGAACCCGATTCGGGACGGGTACGAATTATGCACAATTCCACAATTTTCACAAATGTTGACACTGTACACCATCCCTGGATTGCGGGCAATGCAGACAAACAGTTCTTCCGAGACATTGTGAATCACGTGTCCTTTGTCTAC